GTCGCTACTCGCCAAAGTAGGAGGTGGAACAATGTTTTGTATAGTATGTTATGCCAATTGAGCTTGATGTCCCCTGTGACTATGGTCCCAAGCCCGCAGGTTCAACTACTTGGTCACTCTGGGTAGCTGTCTGTGACCAAGCAGTGACCACAGGCTATGATATTTTCGGTATTTTTCTCCAACACCACAATTCAAAGACATCAACTCTTCTTCAGTCTTTTTGTTCACTGTCCAGCTGTCACATGAATGTGAGGCCATTGAAAATACCTGGGTTGGGCTTTGGTTAGGTGCACTTTAGCTTTAAAAATGACACCTTTACTTCTTAACACTTTAAAGAAGTATTTTATAGCAGATTTGCCCCATGCAATATGAGGTCTGATTTCTTGACTACTGCTTTTATGGATGTTAATTGTGGATCCAAGTAAAATGAAATCCCTGACAACCTCAATCTATTCTCCCTTATCATGGTATTGCTTATTGGAACAGTTGTGAGAATTTTCATTTTCTTTATATTGAAGTGTAATCCATACTGAAAACAGTAGTCTTTGATCTTCATTTTTGATTCATAGTGACATTATAGGACACAGTAGAACTGCCCCACAAGGTTTCCAAGGCTGTAATTTTTTTTGATGGCTGTATATTTTGACTTACGGTCTGTACAATTTAACAACCAATGAGCATAACTGCAGTGGAGAACATGGAATAAAGATTATTTTATTCATTTATTCATTATTTATAGAGCTCCTATCTTAAAACTTTATGGAAGCAGATTGCCCTATCTTTCTACTGAGTAATGGCTGGAGGTTTCAAACTGGTGACCTTTAGGTTACCAGCAGAGTGCTTAACCACTATGCCACCAAGGCTCCTCTATATAATGATTCACCTAAACATTTTCTACAATTAGGTTATATGCTGTGGGAAGATCGGGATCAAGATTTTATCTCTTCTATTTCCCCTTCTTCATTCCACCAGCAAAATCAGCACTCAGTAATACTTCATTAAGGAGTTCTGGTGGTAGAGTTGTTAAGACATTTGACTGCTAACCAAAATGTTGGTGGCTTGTACCCACTAGTTGCTCTGTGGAAGAAAGATGAGGCAGGTTTGTTCCATAAAGATTTACACAGTTTACCACAATGCAACAGCTCCCCTCCCACTTCCTCCCCATAGTTACCTCTTTCCAGCGTCCCTCCCTCCATACTCTCCTGCCCCGTGAACTGTCTCCCTGTGCATAAGCAGCCCTTCCTTCTCCCATGATTGTTCTCTCCAGGGTGTGTGTCTACTTGAGGTACTTTGTTTGGCTGGAACCCCAGTGGGGGTCTCTGTGAGTCAGAATTGACTCCAAGGCAGTGAGTGAGTGAGTGAATAGCTTATTATCTTTTCAGAAATCACCACTCATTTCTCTTGGGCACAAACTTGAGTAAAACCTCTGGATTTAATATCTAATTCCCTCTGAAGGACTGAGAAAAGAGAAAGAAAAGTGCTTTTAAAACATATATGTTTTAGTGGACAGGAATCTTTCATCACTCATTGATACATGATCCAGTTAAAAGTGATATGTAGATCTGTACCTTAAAACCAAAAAAAGAAAAAAAAAAAAAAAAACATTGTGACCTGATTCATGGCGATCCCACAGTAGGACCTTATGACAGGGAGTATGTGCTGGGGAGTCAGATTGTTCAGGATTTGAGTTCAGGCTCTACAACCAATTGGTACTCAGACTCCTTAAGTTCCAACTTCATCAGTAAAATCAGCAAAGTAGAACAACAAACTTCTGAATTTTTTCCTGAATGAGGTTTAACTGAAATAATGCATGTAAAACATATTTTTCATTGTAATAGGCACACATATGTGCCTGACATACATTTTAAAAAAAAATGTATTACTTATTATTATCAGTAGAAAGCTTGGATTATGAAGGCTTTGTGGCATACTTGTGGGGGGCAGATTAAAAAAGGTTCTATAAAGACCCTTTTCTTAAGCCTTGAATAGGAGCTCTGGTAGCATAGTGCCTAAGGCACTAGACTGCTAACCAGAAGGCTGGTGGTTCAAACCCACCAGCTACTCCTCGGAAGGAAGGTTGTGCGATCTACTTCCGTAGTGATACTGCCTCGGAAACCCAAGGAGGAGTCGCTATGAGTTGGGTCTGACTCAAGGGCACATAACAACAATAAGACAAAGACAATTATCCAGAAGAGGGAAACCATCAGCACATGCCGAGTACAGAGGCTGATGGAATCTGTTCAATCAGTCATGGTGTTCATCGCATATGTTAGAGAACAAAGAAAATCATCAGAAGATCATGATTGGTGGCAGGTCAATTAATCACTGTTGCAGATGGGACTATAGAATTGGAGAAAAGACCATGATTGGGATATGTACATAATTGCAGGTTAAAAAAGTTTACAGGATTGGCTATTTTCAGTAAATCATTAAGGATATGCCCAGGAAGTTTTTTGTCTAAGGAGATGCTCAGGTGAGTTCCTTAGTTATTTGTGTAAGCATCTTACACAAAGATCTTACTGGTTAATCTACTTTCAACCATATTCTTCCTGAAGGCAAACTGCCCCTCCCTAGGCTGCCTGGACTCCTCTAAGCATAGCTACACTGTTT